TGATGAGCAGAGTTTATTCTATGCAAATGGAGAGTTACTGTGGATGCAATGCACCAAGCTAGATAATGTATTATAGATACTAGCTAGGAGTATCTAGGAATAGCAAGTAGAAATACCACACAGAGTAATGATAGGAGAACTTTTAAAGAGTCACAGGATTATTTTAAAGTTCATTTGCTTATTTGATCTTTTATCCCCCTTCCCCAACAGGTCTGGATTGTTCCCCACAGCAAAAAATTCTCCCCCCTTAATAGGTCCTATCTCTGTGCTAATGCTACCTTCTGAAATGGAGATTCCCAGTGGTCTGCTCTCACCAGCGGCGGCTCCAGGCACCAGTGCTCCAAGCTCGTGCCTGGGGCGGCAAGCCGCAGGAGGCGGCCTGCCGGTCCCTGCGAGGGTGGCAGTCAGGCAGCCTTCGGAGGCATGCCTGCGGGAGGTCTGTCAGTCCCACGGATTTGGCGGCAATTCGGCAGCTGGTACGCCGAAGCCGCGGGACCAGCGGACCTCCCGCAGGCATGTCACTGAAGGCAGCCTGCCTGCCGTGCTTGGGGCGGCAAAAAAGCTAGAGCCGCCCCTGGCTCCCACTAATGGCTGCCCATCTCGATGGGGCATCTCATCCTCATTCTGGGTGTTGGATGGAGGGAGGTTTCCTTACAAGCAGGGGCCTAAAGTCCTTCTTCCCCCAGGGGGCTTCAGACAAATGACAGACTCTCTGCTGCACACCTCTGACATGTTATTCAACTCTAACATGCTTTATTGTGTGCTCCAGGACACAAAATAATTAGCATTAGTCAGTACCCTGGATCCCACAACAGCTCTGACAGAAAAAATTAGATTTCTGGAAGATGAAGAAGCTGGGGTAACCCAATTAACAGAGAGCAGTGACAGGGAGGAACTGGGGTGCTGTAGCAAATGGAGGAAGACCCTTAACTGATTTTTTTCTAAATATTAGAAAAGATTAGGTTCATGGGGTGGGCAACTGTTCCAGTTTATTCTTATTTTAACCAAACCAACTGAAAACAAAATGTTACAAACAGCACAAGTTACCATGGAGATTGCTTGAAGCAGAGACAGCTACTGTGGTGAATTTGTTTCTGGACAAGGATAGGATTTAGGAGTGGGCTGAAAAATAGGAAAGTGAGAATCAGACTAGTCCAAAGAGAGTTAGGCACAGTGGTGTGGAAAGCTTGTTTTCTTCCTCTTCCTAGAACTGGTTTACGTCCTTTATAGCTCTCCTTTTATCTCTGCCACTTCAGACAGTGATGCATTGGTCACAGTTTAACAAAATTGCAATTACAAAAATTGCCCCCCCCCCTTTATTCCACCACGATCCCTGTGTACTAGGGTTTTGTGCACTCTAGAGAGAAAAGTGAGGGTCTATGGCATTTATTCACTTATGTTCCCAAACAATAACGCCTTTCCAAGCCATAAGGGAGGAGAAATCACCACTCAGCAAACAAATTTACAAGAAATGATCTTTGCTGGGAATGTTTTTGTTCTGCTTTGGTAATATATAACTGGGGTGTTGATGAAACAAGCACAGTGTTCTCCTTGTGTAGTTTGAATGGGACGGGCAGGAGCGCCGGCAGCCTTTTTGGTGCCCTAGGCGGCAGAAGGTCCCGCCCCCAAAATGGCATCCCCGACAGAGGCGGCGGAAGGTCCCGCCCCTGAAATGCCGGATGTTCGGCCGCCGTGGTCGCTGCCCCCCAAATGTCAGTGCCCTAGGCGACCGCCTAGGTTGCTTAATGGGTTGTGCCGGCCCTGGAGGCGGGGTGGGGGTAAAGGCATTTTAGGTGTTTCCTTCTCCCTCTCTAATAAATTTTTTTAAATATCTGCCATTTGCTAATCCATCATTCCATCTGATCATCTAATCCATTCCAAAAACAAAACATTTTTCTCCAGGAGTAGCTTTGTTAGCCTTAAGGATGAATCCACTCCGATAAGGATTATTTAGTAGTATTGAAAGATGAGAAGACTCCATGAATGATAGGGAAATTGCCCCAATAATTTGGTGGCAGCATTTTCACAGTGAACTGAACAGCAGCAGAGCTCATACCTGTTTCCAACTTTGAGTAGTTAGCTACAGGCTGGGGACCGACAGGCTAAGCAGCAGTTCTGCAGAAAAGGACCTGGGGATTACAGTGGACAAGAACCTGGATACGAGTCAATATGTGTGCCCTTGTTGCCAAGAAGGCTAACAGCATATTGGGCTGCATTAGTAGGAGCATTGCCAGCAGATCGAAGAAAGTGATTATTCCCCTCTATTCGGCACTGGTGAGGCCACATCTGTGTCCAGTTTTGGGCCCCACACTACAGAAAGGATGTAGACAAATTGGAGAGAGTCCAGCGGAGGGCAACAAAAATGATTAGGCTGGGACACATGACTTACGAAGAGAGGCTGAGGGAACTGGGCTTATTTAGTCTTCAGAAAAAAAAGAGTGAGGGGGGATTTGATAGCAGCCTTCAACTACCTGAAAGGGGGCGGGAATCCAAAGATGATGGAGCTCGGCTGTTCTCAGTGGTGGCAGATGACAGAACAAGAAGCAATGGTCTCAAGTTGCAGTGGTGGAGGTCTAGGTTGCATATTAGGAAACACTATTTCACTAGGAGGGTGGTGAAGCACTGGAATGGGTTACCTAGGAAGGTGGTGGAATCTCCATCTTTAGAGGTTTTTAAGGCCCGGCTTGACAAAGCCCTGGCTGGGATGATTTAGTTGGGGTTGGTCCTGCTTTGAGCAGGGGGTTGTATTAGATGACCTCTTGAGGTCTCTTCCAACTCTAATATTCTATGATTCTCTCATACAGTGCTAAAAAACCAAAGCACATTTCAGTGCATGAATACACAATAGATTTTAAAATCTGAGCAGGATCTTTCTACTTGTTGTGCTTAATTTCAAAATCAGTGCAATCATTAGAGAGAAATGGTTTGCTCTTTCAACATGGAATTCCATTTTCCCAGCAAAAGGGAGAGGAAATTTTTTCTCTATAGCGGAACATACCCCAATACTCTACCTGCCTGAAATTTATGCTCTTTGGTTCTAGTTCTCAACTGTAAATTGCTCGTGTACACATCTGTCTGACATGAACCATACATACTCTTCTTCAAGATTTTAAAAGCCCTTTAGTCAACAGTAGTGATACTTGTCCCCAGTACACTCGGAAATAGCCTTGATAGCCTCCTTCTTTTTTAGTCCATGTCTCTCACAGCTAACTACAATTAATGGTAACAGGTGGTTGTGTTGTCAAAAGTATATATACTTCTCTTCTCTAGCCTCTCTGCTTTCTGAGGTACTGTGGGGGTGGCGAAGATGACAGATGGCTTCCGCAAACTAATCACAGATAACATGATATTTTGGTGTAGTACATGCATTTTCAGGCAAATAATGAACTAGTTTAATTTAATATCCTCCCTTGTGAAAAGCTGGCTACCTTAATGGAATGTGGCATGCTCTAAAGAAATGCACATTACATCCTAAATTATATTAAAATGTGATTAATCATAGCACCATGCAATAAATAAGATAACAGTTATTGTTGGTAGAGATTTTTGATGTCTGAATTTATTTCATGAAAATCTTTTGTTAGTTTGACAGACAGAGAGAGACCAAAAAAAAATAAAATAAAAAAAAAAATCAACCCTCAGGCCAAATTTTGCATTTTTTGACCTGAGTTCATTATAGATTTAAGATATGATTAAACAGTATATATCTGTGTACCTCTGAGCCACACTGACCACAGAAAGCCACCGATGCAGGTTCTGTGGCATGCTGATCTATCCAGGAGCATATTCTTCCACTGCAATGGGACTCTGGCTAATTAATAGTCTTAATAATTTTTATAAGTGGTTTAAAGAAATCTATCATGGGTATTTCTAAGTGCTGGTATTGCTGGAATTACTAAGAATTGAGGCCTGGTCCCAATAATATTTGTCGTTGTCTTCCATGGGAACAAGATTTGGCCATTAAAGACGACATTCTTTTTAAAAGTGGATGCTGTTTATTTTGAAAGGTGCCTTCAAATTTGACCTTGTAAATCTTGCATACAATTTTTAGCACCTTTACAAAACCTGCAGTTTTAAAATTTTATTAAAGATCTGATGGTAGTTAATTATTTTTTATTCCTGTTTGTGTGACAAAAATATGTTCGATCAAAAAAATCATGATTAAACTCACGGTATCTAAGATTTAAACAAGGAAGTCTGAAGATTAGAAATGAGATGATGGAAATAGTTAAAGGGGCAAATTAATAAAGTAAAACAATACAATTTTGATTTGATAGCTCCTGCCTTTAATGCCTGGCTGGTTGTATGAAGAGAGAGGTGAAAACAGGAGGAATTGAGGATAGAGAGATGGGCAGAAACAGGGAAAGAGGTAGGGGATGAGGACTGAGAGAAAAACAAAAGGCATGAGCAAAGGAGGAAAGAGATCAAAGCCCTAATCCTGCAATTTACAATACAAAGGGTGGTCCACTGTGCCTGAGTGGAGCTCCTTTAAAGTCAATGAAGTACTGCATAGGGGTCCACACATGCTGTAAATTGTAGGATTTGGCCTAAACATACATGGATAAGGCATTAATTCCATCAGCCTGTGGCTCTATTAAATCTGACTGGTCATTTTGAAGGTATTACTTGTGCTTCTAGGCAGCAGTTTAACAGTAACTTGCCTGTAGGTTGCTCCTTTTTTCTATAAATCCCCACAATTTATTTTATGAAAACACTTCTATTATTGTTCCTGCATATCTCATTTGCTGCATTATCCCACCAAAGGAAATTGTGTGCATTGTGTTACTCAAGTGAGTGGATTTAAGCTGCTTAGCCATATAAATTACAACAGTGTTCACATGTACCAACTTCTTATTTGACATTAGAACATGGCCCTTGGAGCTCTCTTTACAAATAGCTAACATCCTGCTGTAAATCTGTTTTCATGCAAGATACATGAATAATAAAAAATAAAAACTCTGGCTTATCCCTATATAACTTGTGGCTATTTTCCAACACAGGTTTATCAATATGCAACCAGCAGTTGTTCGATATGAGGTGGAGAAGGCGAGATGAAAAATGGCACAGAATGAAGAATTATGAAATTATGGGCATGGCACAGCTAAGCAAAGAAGAGCAATTAATGAAGAGAGAAAAACGGAACATTGTCTAAGTCAGGTAAGCAATTTAGACCATTACCTAACAATGTGTAAGGTGACTGAAGCTTATTCGGATTATGCAAGGATTACAGGTGCGTGCATGCACACACACAGACAAATGCTGGGACTTCCTTCCTGAGCAATATTTTCTCTGCATTAAGTACAAACATACTTTCTTCTGATATTAAACATGCATTTGACTTGCTTTGAAGCATGAATAACCCCAACTCCAGCACCTAGGTGCACTATGGTATGCCTCTTCCCACGCCTTCCCGCCCCTTTCCACTCCCTTCCCCGAAGTCCCCACCCCAACTCCGCCCCTTCCCTGCCCCCAGAGGGTGCATGAGGGGTGTGGTGGGGGCTCAGGGCAGGGAGTTGAGGTGCAGCAGGGGGCTGAGGTGCAGGCAGGGGGCTCAGGGTGCAGAAGGGGTGTGGGATGCAGCAGGGGGATCAGGGCAGGGAGTTGGGGGGCGGGGTGCAGGAGGGCTTCGGGATCCGGGGTGGCAGCAGCGCACACCGGGGCTAGGGCCAGGGCAGGCTGCCAGCCCCGGCCCCGGCCCTGCCCCACTCCGCTCTGGGAAGTAGCTGGAACCATGTCCCTGCGGCCCCTGGGGGAGCGTGATGCAGGGCTCTGCACGCTTCTTGCTGCTCCTCCAGGTACCTCCCCCGAAACTCCCCATTGGCCACGGTTCCCCGTTCCCGCACAATGGGAGCTGCGGGGGGGCATGCCTGCAGGGCCAGCTCTAGCTTTTTTGCTGCCCTAAGCAGCAAAAAAAGCGCCGCCCCCCGAACCCCCCAGCCGAGCGCCGCCTCCCGAGCCACCCAGCCGAGCAGCGCGCCGCCCCCC